CCGAACGTGGCCGCCACCTCCTTGCAGGTACAAGGGGCCGGAGCTGGAGATGTGGTCACTGGGGGTCACGCTGTACACGCTGATCTTTGAGGAGAACCCTTTCTGCGAGCTGGAGGAGACCATGGAGGCCGTGATCCACCCGCCATACCTGGTGTCAGAAGGTGAGCCTGCGCTGCAGGTGCCGCGGAGACGGCTCAGTCCCCTGCCTCGGGCACAGCGCCCCTTTGTCCGTGCTGACAACCTCATTGCTCTTTCTGTGCCTCTAATGCCGATGTGGACAGAAGGGTAACGTGACCATGACTAAACCGTTATGATAACATTATGTGCAGGAGAATCCCCCTTGGGTCCCGGGGGACCCGCTTCTGAGACAGACGCTAGCAGCCTGAGAACCTGGCTGTGGCAGTGACTGTAAGGTCAGCACTGGGGTCAGACATTCATCACTTGGGGGCAGTGGTGGGACTCGGTCCCCTAGCAGCTGTTGGGAAGCCTGCGGGTTTCTGTCGCACCTCCGGCTCCTGTCGGGGCCACGGGGGGGAGGGGGTTGTGTGCATTTGGAGGAAGGACCAGTGGGCTCAGTGGCCTGGAAATGACTTCCTGTGCCTGGAGTCAGCCCCTTTGGCACCCCAAGCGGAGGAGCCCCAGGGAGGGGGCTGGTAAGAGTTTCACGGGCACTGCTGGCCCGTGGGCTCCGGGGTCCCTTCCAGGCTTGGCGTCCTGTGACTCTACGGCACTCGTTTATCCTTACAAGTGGCGGGGTGACAAGCATGAACATCTCGTGCACGGAGTCCGTTTGGAACCAGCTTGGGGTCCAGCCTAACTCCGCTTGGGTTGGAAGCCAGTGTCAGCACCGCCACGAAAACACGCCACGGATTGGGGCTTACACGACAGACAGACATCCATTTCTGTCTGGAGGCTGAGAGGCCAAGATCAGGGTGCCCGCGGATTCGGTTCCCAATGAGAGAGAGTGCCCACACGCCACGCTCGGTCTCTCTTCTTGCGAGGACACTAACCCTATCACCGGGCTGCACACTCAAATGAAAGACGTCATATAACACCCCCCGCCCCCGTCACCTCCCGAGGGCGCCACCTCCTGACACTGTCCCAGTGGGAGACAGGGATGGGGGGAGGTGTGGGGACACTGAGTCCCTAACAGCCTGGAGGAGGATCTTTAGAGCTTTGCTGAAGTCCCGGATTCCCACGAACCACGCCGCTCGCAGCACATTCTGTTCCACCCACAGCGCCTATTCCACACACTCACCAGGTTCTCACGATACCCTCTGGGATGGTGAGGCCCAGAGTAGCCCTGGTTGAGGGGACCCCATGTTCTTACAGGAAATGGGGCCCAAATCCAGACCCAAGGCTGGGGCTCTTCCCAGAGCCTGTGCTTCCTTTGGGGGGGGGGGGAGACAACGCAGGGCTTGCTCTGGCCACGTCCCTCTCCTCTTGTCCCACAAACCCTGTGTCGTTCAAAGCTCTGCACAGCCAGAGCCCCAAGAACAGGTCGAGTTTACGAAGCTCCGCACATTGGTTAGGTGAGCGAGGCGGGACCCTGAGCTCCATGCTTCCATTTCAGAGGGACAAGCGTCTCCTGCAGCCTGTCTGGGGCGTAGCTGGGCCCGTGTGCCAGGGACCCCAGGTTCTTGTCAGAAATGGAGGTTCCAGGGCTCAGAGGTGCTCCTGGCAGGCACACCCAGGACCTGTAGTTTTGAGACATATTCTACTTGAGCCTGGCCTGGATCCACCCACAAGCGTGGGGTGGGTCTCTCTGTCCCCAGATCTCATGAACCTCGTGTCTGGGCTGCTGCAGCCTATCCCCGAGCAGCGCACCACCTTGGAGAAGCTGGTGACAGACCCCTGGGTGACACAGCCTGTGAACCTTGCTGACTACACCTGGGATGAGGTGTGTCGAGTGAACAAGCCAGGTGAGAGGCATGGCCGGTGTGCCAGGAAGGCAAGGAGGTTCCCCAGGCTGCCTTCCTGGGTCTGAGGAGGATGATCCCTTCTCCATGCTGTCCTGGACACAAATGTCAGGCCTTGTAGCTGGTTTGTCACCTGTGGAGAAAGTGGAGCTTGATTCTGTTCCAGAGGCCCCTGAACACCACCGGGGCCTTAGAAGGTGGGTGAGCACCCAGGGGAGGCCCTGACAAGGAGGCGCCCACAGAAGGATTGGGGGCAAAAGGCTGGTGGTGGCCTGAGCCAGCTAAAGGAAAGGGTAAGGCTGCAGATGGTGGGAGTGGGATGCTCTGAGGGGACCCAGGAGCCCTGGCTCTTCAGATAAGGCTTCTGGCTGCAGAGCTGGGCAGCAGCCAGCGCGTCTGGTCACCAGTGCTCAAAGCGGGTGGACCAAGCTGGAGCTGGCGGCCCCCGGCCTAGAATCCGTGCAGCAGCTCGGCAGGGGCCGGGACTCGGGCAGTGCCAGGCCCGTTCTGAAGGCCCCTGATGTCTCTGCGGCTAGGGATTCTCCCAGCGAGAAGCAAGTGTCTTAGAATCTTGTGTGAATGATACAATGTCTTCTTCTTTCTTCAGAAAGTGGAGGTCTGTCGGCGCTGAGTCTGGAGATGGAGAGCAGGTGCGCGAGGGAAGTGGCCCCAGAGCCATGCGGGGCCTTGTGCCCTAGGGGCGGCCCCTGCTGAGCGGACACCAGCTCCCTGCTCCTCTGTATCACTCTGGGGGACTGAATTGTTTTCGGGCCTCTTCCATTCAGAGAAAGTAAACTCTCAAGAACTAGGCCCAGTTCACGTTCTAAAAGCTCACATGCAAAATGCTAAAAGCTCTCTAGCATTAAAAAAATGCTAGAACAAAAGCCAGTGATGCTGTAAGATTTTAGGTTTATAAATAGACTTGGAATTCACTTTTGTCATGACCTTGGGAAAGCGTTCTAATGCCGGGTTGAGTTTGTACTGTTAAAGGGCTTTCACTTGTGGACTTCGGAAAGGCATAAAGTTTTTTAGTCTTTTTGCTTTTGTATATACACATGTGTTTTTGTCTCCTCTGACTGGACAAGTGCCCATCGGATGTGTGGAGTTTGTAGAACTGGTTAGCAACTGACCAGACTATTTCATTAACTTATTTTCTTGAACATTTTCCAAATTAAAGCAATTTTGTAGTAAACAATTATCCTGACTTGGACTGTCTGAATTCTTCCACAACGCCAGTGTGGGAAGCGTTTCCTTTCCTTATTTTTATGTCTGTGCACACCCACTTGCTACAGCTGGAGAGGGGCTCAGCCTCTGTCAGTTTGGGGCTGCCTCCCCCGGGTGAGCCGGGAGCCCTGCAGCTTGCTCAGTCTAAGGAGGCCGGGTGGGCACTGATGCTCAAGCACTTCTTTCTCCCCTCCACCCCCCCCCCCCAGCACTGCAGCCCACCTGGGCCCTGCTGTCCACCCAGACGCCCTGCCAGCACTCCCCAGACAGCCTGCGTCCAGCCCAGGCCCCACCTTGGCCGGGGCGTCCAGTCTGTCTTACTTCCCATCCGGTTCACATGCCGGGATGTCTCTCACACACTCCGATGGCTCCGACCCATCCCCCTTCGGAGCGGAATCCAGATGCTCACGGAGCACGTGAAAAGCAGCCTTTCTTTTTTATCTGTGTTGGAGGGGAGGGAGTGGTTGGGAGTAAGAGGGAACTCTTTCATTCTTCTCTTTGCTAAGATGGTGAGAAGAAAACAAAAAACCCCGAGGCCTCCCCCCCCACCCTTTTTCCAGCACGTCACCCCTTTCTGCAGGTTGACGGTTCCTCTGCCTTGTCCTCCGGAAGATGCTCAGTCACACAGCTTTGGTGAAGCCCTGGGCTCATTAGGGAGCACCCAACTGTCTTCCAGTATCTTGGGACACCCAGAGAGCAGTGGTTCGTTCTCAACTGTGGGGATATGGGATATTGCTATCCCCTTCCTTTACAAAGTGCTGCCTGAGTCCCTGCTGTCACCAGAGACTGACAGGGGGAGGGGGACACACCCTCCTCCATCAAGGACCACAAAGGCCTGGTTTTTAGGTGTGTATTTTTTTTAAAGTGTGTAATAAAAAGTGATGTTTACTCTTCTGAGTTTGAATGAGTTTCTTGATAACTCTTTTCCAGAGTGAAAAAAAACCCCACGTTTTTCCTTGTAGTAGATATGATACTTATAACACGTAAGAGGTTACAGAATGTTCTTTTCAGACCCGGGTGCAATGGACTAAGAGGGTAAAGTCCTAGCTCTCCAAGGACTGTTACTTCTGAGGAATAATAAAACTCATCCTTCTGGATGGCAGTAGGAGGTCTGACGTTTTGAGAGCGTTCTTTGCAGAGAGAGGCTGAGGCTGAGACAGGCTGGCAGATCTTTCTCTCTGTGTTCCCGGTGCGATTCCAGAGAGCGGCATTTTCAGAGGACTGAAGATGCTGTTGGCTTCCTAGAGCGAGGCCTGCATCTCGGCCACGACTTTATCTCTCCAGCCGGATTACCTGTTGGGGCTCGGTGACTGATTCCCTCCAGGGAGTGGCGGCAGCACACGGGGATTTTCTTAGGCTTTGGGTGTAAAAGCATTACTTTATCCTGAGAGGCCGACACTTGGGTAGTTTTGCAAGAAAACTGGAGTAAAAAAAACAAACAAGAAAAACAACCAATGCTTTGGTTCTACACAGATTACAACCTTCTCTTTTGACAACGTCCTTCGTCACATGACCTGTGGCGGCGCCCAGCCCAGTGCCGGGCACGGAGCAGGTGCTCCAAGCCCTTCTCAGTCCAGAAGCCAGTGCTAGATAAAAAAAGAGGAAGCTCGTACAAACGAAGGTTCGGGGCTCGGGAGGGCGGAGGATGCTCTGAAAGACACCGGGGCTCCGTGTCCGCACGACCGGGCGTCCCCGCTAGAGGAGGGCAGGCCGGGGGACTGGGAACCTTCGCGGCGGAACGCGCCTCTCGCGCGCCCGCGCTTGCCGGGGGAGGGCGGAAGGGAGGGCTCGCGAGGGCGGAAGCGCGGACCAGTGAGGGCCGGTTTCCGGCGCCAGGGTCGCTGCCGCCTCCGCGCTATGGCGGCGCTCGGCAGGCAGGTGAGGTGGCACCCGGTGCCGGGGATCCGCGCGGTCGCAGACGAGCCGCCGCCGGGTGGAGCCTTACTCGGGGGCCGGTGACCCGCGTGGGCCGCGGCGCGCTGTCGCGCGGGGTGGCATCCGGGGCCGAACCCGGCGGAGGGGAGGGCGGGCGGCCGGGCGGCGACCCCGGTGGACGCCTGCGAGCGCTGCGGGTCGGGGTGGGGAGGGTAGGGTGTTGAGTGCGCGGGCGGCGACTGCGGGGTCTGCCTCGCGTGGCCAGCACCGCCGAGCCGTTCGAGGCGGGCGGGAGTTGTGTGTGTGCACCTTGGCCGTCAGGCTGATTCTACGGAGTGGACTTAGGTCGATGAATCTGCACACTAGTGTGAGGTCCACATCTTTGAGGTGTGGACGCCAACTCAGACCCCCAGGGGTGGCACGGAAGTTGTTTTCAACTATTGTATTTAGGATACAGCAGCTGCAGAAGGGTTTCTGGGAGATTCCCTTATCTCACTGGTAAAACAGGCTTCATGTTTTTCTGTCCTGGGTAGTTTTATGGCCAAGAAGAAAACGAGAGACCACTTGCATCTGCGTAAACAAACATTGTTACACACTTGCTTATCCCCCATTTGTTCTTCCCATAGACGCTGCCTCCTCCTTAAGTTAGGCCCTAATTTTACCGTATAGAAAGCTACCCCTTCTGTGAGCAGCTCCATGCCTATGAATAAACTTTGGTTTTTAATCTTCCTGTTTGTCTGTTTTCAGTTAAATTTGCACGCCCCCCCCCCCCCAAGCCCTGAACCTTAGGGGTAGAGCAAAAGTACCCCACGCACAGACACCCTTTCTAGTTCTGTTCCTCCCTGCCCCCTCAGTTACAGTGACAAAAGCTGGCGGACACTTGCTTGGCTCTCTGACCTCTGTGCCCTTGCAGTACTCTGCTGTCTGTATGTGAACTTCCTTCTCTGCGGGCTTTTTTAGGTTCAGGTACGGTTCTGCAGATTGCTTACAAAGGCTGCTGTGCTTATGTGGGACCGAGGCACTAGGTAACCTGGCTCAGGAGCCCTGTGATGTCTGTTAAATTGGGGTAGTGAGGAATTTATTCCCCATTGGTACTCTGTCTCGTAGGTCTTTGACTGGCACCGCCTGATCCCCCTCACCTGGGCGCATGTTGCTAGGCAGACTCCTCTCGGAGAACAGAAAAGGACGTCTGCGTCGTTGTTGTGTCTACTGACCACAGCCTCCAATGGAGGGGACCTCCAGAAGGTATCCTGCGTGGAACCCAAAAAGTATGTGCGGGAACCAGAGTGCAGGACAGATCTCACCCCGGACCCCCTTGAGAAGCAGAGGACTCCTGTGGCTGGAGGGTTCTTAGAGCGAGAGAACGTCATCAGTGCCCTCCTGGACATGGGTTTCAGTGACATCCACGTTAATGAATTGCTCAGTATGTGGCCAACTGTGCCCCCCCAACAGTTGCTGGACATCATTTCAGAATTAATACTCTTGGGTTTGAACCCAGAGCCTGTGTATGTGGCCCTAAAGAAAAGCCCTGAGCTGCTGAAGCTGCCTATAATGCAGATGAGGAAACGCTCCAGTTACCTGCGGAAGCTTGGGCTTGGAGAAGGTACCGGAAGTGCTGATTTCGTGGACGACGCCGAGGACTCGGGGTTGGGGGATGAGTAGCCCAGGTGGGATGGACTAGGGGGGCTTCTGGGGAACGTCCTTGAGAATAACACGTGATTTGGTTCGGAGGTGAGAAAGAGGAGTGACCTCTGGATGGCACTGCCGGAGGGAAGGGGGGACAGGCCAGGACTCTTGTCTGGTGTGCTCACTGTGGGGCCCCTGGCATCTAGAGCACGTACTACATGCTCATGCCCAGCAGATAGATGTCAGTATGTGATACTGATACATGTGTGTCTATGGCGTTTTTGATGTTTAACGTGAAGTGGTCTTAGTGCTTTGTGTCTGTATGACGTAGAGCCAAAGGCTTACAGAGGCCCTGGTAAAGACGTGCATTCCAACAAGGTGTCTTGATTTGCTGTGGAAAACGAGATCTTCCCAAACTCCTAGGAAACTGAGGAGTGACTGTTCCCTCCACCACGTCCCCCACCCCCTCCCCTATCCCCAACAGGATTCACACCTCAAGGATTCTAGAATTCCTTTCTTTCTTTTTTTTTTTTTGTTTATTTATTTTAGAGAGAGTGAGAAAGAGAGCGCAAGCAGGGGAGGTGCAGAGAAAGAGGAAGACACAGAATCTGAAGCAGGCTCTAGGCTCCCAACTGTCAGCACAGAGCCTGACACAGGGCTCGAAGTCACAGACCTCGAGACCATGACCTGAACTGAGGTTGGACACTTAACTGACTGAGCCACCCAGGTGCCCCAAGGATTCTTGAATTTCCTTGGATCTCTTTATGGGCCTTTAGGAGAAGGGGGTTAGGGGTCCATGAGCGTCTCCAAGGATCTTTACCTACTTTGACCAGCGGAGGACCACTGTTCTTTTTTGTCATTTTTGACTGTTACTGGTAATATATTGTTGAGGGCGACAGAAGGTTTAGGGATCTACTATTTCAGAGGATCTCTACGGACCTCCTCTAGAAGATAAGGAAGAAGGTAGTCTTCTCTCTTTCTCTTACTGGATTACCTGTTGTGGTATAATCTAAAAGGCTAAATTTAAGACTTTGTATGTTATGATTATAAATTACAAAGCTCGGAGGTGCCTGGGTGGTTCAGTCGGTTTAAGTGTCCATCTTTAGCTCAGGTCATGATCTCGTGGTTTGTGAGTTCGAACTCCACGTCGGGCTCTGTGCTGACAGCTTGGAGCCTGCTTGAGATTCTCTCTCTCTCTCTCTCTCTCTCTCTCTCTCTCTCTCTGTCCCTCTCTGCCCCTCCCTCCTTATTCTCTTTCTCTCTCTCAAAATAAATAAACTTTAAATATTA